AGGGAACGTCTCGGTTACGTATGTAACCCTCGTTCCCTGAAGGAGGGAACGGAGACGTCACGTCCCGTCGCCACAGCTCCTGTGCCACCGCTGAGCGGCCGGGTCACCGGCTCGGCTCCTCAGCGAAAACCTGAATATGCGCTGCATCTGCTGCCTACTTATACTCACGCTGTGATCAGCAGCAGCTGGATGCAATAATCGCATGCCAATGTGCATTGGCTCGTTTAGTTTACACTCGAAGTAGATTGGTCCCTCTAAGCGAGATCCCAATTCGTCGGTCCTCCGACGTGACGTCTCCGTTCCCTCCTTCAGGGAACGAGGGTTACATACGTAACCGAGACGTTTTAATTGTACAAGTCTATGAGGCTGATGATACATGGGGCAACCTTTTGAGCAATGTTGCTTGGGCACTTCCCTATTGAGAATGCATAACAAATTTCTATCTGGATACTTTAGACTCGTCGTGTGCCCTGTGTCTCACCTGGTTGATGGTTGACGGCAACATTAACCAAAGTTACCCAGCAACATTGCTCAAAAAGTTGCCCCATGCATCATCACCCTAAGAATGCTACCCAAATAGTTCACCCAAAAATGAAATCTGTCATCATTTACTCACCCTTATGTTGTTTCAGACCTGTATGAATTTCTTTGTTCTGCTGAACACATAAAAGTATATTTTAAAGAATGTGTGTAACCAAACAGTTGATTGGTAGCTATTATTTTTTTATTTTTATTTTATTTGTGTTGATTTTTGTTGTCATTTATGTACATTAGGGTTTTATGTCATATGTTATGTTATTTTATTTATATTTATCGCATTAATTTTTATACTTTATTTATTTATTAACTCTAAATTTCTGACAAAGAATGTGTTCTAAAACGCCTGTAACTGTTATCAAACACTTGAAGGGACCAAAAATTTAAAATTATGTGAACATTTTGCCACGCTTATGTCATTAAAAATAATAATAATAATAATGATAAAATAAAAAAAAGATAAAATCTTCAGTTTTGCGTGTATCCTCAATTACCCACTCCGGTTCCCTGCACTAAATCCTCTACAAATTTTAAATAAATTTAAAGGTATATGTGTGTGCATCTGAACTGGTGCACATTTATGGGATACATTCTCTGAAGGGTGTCTGAGTCAGAGTCTTATTTTGAAAGGGTTGTGTTTCCCTTGTCATGCTGGTTTTACCCCTTATTTTCTCTATTCCCCACCAGCTGCATTGCCCCTCAGTCATAATCTTATGGAAATGGTGTTGGATTACACACAAAATAAGCATTTCCTACATGGATTTGCATGCTTGGATTAGTACAGTCATGTACTTGACGCATATGTTTTCCGCACACATTAAAACCATGTGGAGATTCTTTGTAAACCATCACTGTCTGTCTGTCACTCTGAAGTTATGCTCTTAATTATCCTTAAGTGTGTATCGGTTGTTTTCTCTGATGCATTCTCAAACAGCCGATTTCCCCACATGTCCCTGCCATGGAAAGAGCTCAAAGCTTTTATAGCGAACAGGAAACGGATCAGCATCAGAGGCAAACATACCCAGTCTAAGATTTTGTGGGATTGAACTCGTGATTGATCTTATGGTCCCTGTGACCTCTCTGGATTTTTGTGCATACCCATCTGAGTTGAGTTTCACCAAAGCATTATTGTACAAAGACCACATGTATGGCCTACAAACACATGGGAATCATTCAAGGTGTTTTCAAGGTCTCAGGGTCATTGTAGTAAATTTGAGCCAAGATTACTGCTATAAAATAGAAATGTGGTACTGTTACTTTCTTTTCTATACTTTTCAGAGGAAGTCGGCATAAACATATTTTGTCACACTTAAAATAAATATTAATATTTAAATGTCATTAGCATTATAAAAACATACATCTGCTAGACCTTTACACAGAATCAAATGAAATTTCAACTTTTCAGTTATGATTAGAGTTGAGGGAAATCCATCAAAGCACTGAGTCTTTCTTTAAGGATTCTCAATCGATCCACTAAAAAAATCAGAAATTTAACCCTGGATGTGTAATGTATCTTTGCAATGCACAGTGGAGGGACAGAAATCCAAACGATTAACCAAAGGGTCATGGTTTTAGTGTGAAATGAGGGTGAGTAAATGATGACAGAATTTTTATTTTTTGGGTAACTGTCCCTTTCAAACCTGCAAACACATTTTTTTTGTGAAATGGTGAAAGTGTTGTTTGATTTTTTATTATACGTTTTTGTTATATAATGCAAATATTATATTAACACATAAATAAATATATATATATATATATATATATATATATATATAGTCGAAAAATGGAAAAGGTACCACCCAGACATTTTCTGTTACATTTACATTTTAATACACAACACAATGCAATGCATAATTCAAAATATGAGGAAAACAGCTGTCAATACACACAATTCAATATGGAAAATTTCTTTACCAATACTTTGAGTCCTATCTTTCTTAGAGTGAACCATGTGCAAATCAAATATATAAAGACCCCAGATGACTAGGCAGATGGCTTGCAGGAAAGATAGGAAAGGAGATTTTATCTTCATCCCTGTATGTTCAGCAATAAAACGGAGGGAGCCTCACAAATGGTCTCATAAAGTTAGTAATGCTATTATCTGCCACACAAGTGGCAATGAATATGGCACAAGGCAATGCACAATGTACATCTCTTATAAAGTGATAGCGTTTTCCTAACCTGAGAAACACAAACTGAATAAAGCTTTTCCAATAAGCAAAGAATGAGAAGAAGATTCATCTTGTTGTGCTTTCTTCATACAGGACCCATCAAATGCAGCCTTTAAAGGGAAGATGACGGAGTTCATGCAGAAATTCGACAAGAACAAAGACGGGAGAATTGAGATGTCTGAGGTAGATGAACACATCACTTAACACGTCACCGACTCTGCTGTTGACAAGTTATCAGATAGACCCCAATTATCCCTTCATCCCAGAAGAGGAAATCTCTAAACCCACTCATCACTTTAATCAAACCTGTAACTTACTGATAGAAAAAGTCATGGTCTCAAATAGAATAAAACAAGGTTTTCAATTCTGTTTGCTGTATGTGTGTTTAATCCACTTATGTACACTTTCCATCAGCTGGCTCAGATCTTGCCCACAGAAGAGAACTTTCTCCTCTGCTTCAGACAGTTTGTGGGATCCAGCACTGAATTCATGGCTGTAAGTGATGATGCTACTTTTTCATTTTATAAATCCGTGGTCATTTATATACTGATAACACAAAACTCTTCTTGGGCGCCATACAAATATCTTCCCTACACACATTCATTACAATCTAATATGCATAGCCAAATACAACATTTCGGAGAGTTTGATCATCAGAAATTGACTGCCTCAGTGATGTATTATGTCAAGTTGAAGAGAGAGGGGAGCTAAAGAGAAAGGGAAGCTTTTTAATCATCCAGTGTGGTAGGCAAGCATTTTAAAGGGCTAGAATGAGTAAGTACAAACTTCTATTTTCAGACTCATGTATTATAGATGTGCTGCTGTAATTCTCTGTAGACCTGTAGAGGGAGGCATCTATCTTTGATAAGGGCCTGTGATGGAAACAAGGCCAGCTGCTAGATTAAAACATTCATTAAATGGCATTTCTTGCTCCTTGTTCTCACAATGCACAGCTGCTTTGAATAGAAAATACAGAGGGTATAATGAAAAAGCCAGTGTAATTAACGTAAGAATAATTTGCCGATTATTTCTTCACCTCCGCTCTCCTATTCTTCTCATTTGTCCAATCTGAGATATATTGCATGTAAAGCTGTACTCTGTGCTGATAGTACAGTTACAATATCGTTGTACGTCTATCTGTATCTGTAGGCCTGGCGAAAATATGACACAGACCGCAGCGGCTTCATTGAGGCTAATGAACTTAAGGTAAGATTTCTATTACTTTCCCTGCTGTGGTATTCTTCATAACAATCTTGAAAAGAGTTTTGAAAGCTGCTAATGTGATGAGGCAGATGGAAACTATGCAAATCTCTCTGGATTTGGCTGGCATTCCAAAGAGAGTATACAAATCACTACCTTTGTAAACAAAGCAAATGAAGCAATGCTCACTGAAGAGACGATGACCTCAAAGAGAGTAAAGCAGATGTCACTAACAAATAATGTTCTTCTTAGGCTAAAATGCTTAAGGGGTACACAAACCAGAAAGGTAGAGGGATTGTAAGATAATGATAGAAGTTAGATTTTTTAATGGATATATATATATATATATGTGTGTGTGTGTGTGTGACCCTGGTCCCGTCACAAGTAGCACGGGTATATTTGTAGCAATAGCTAAAAATACATTGTATGGGTAAAAATTATAGATTTTTTTTTATGCCAAAATTAATTTGGATATTAACTAAAGATCATGTTCCATGAAGGTATTTTGTAAATTTCCTACTGTATATATATTAAAATTAAATTTTTGATTAGTAATATGCATTGCTAAGAACTTCATTTAGATAACTTTAAAGGAGATTTTCTCAATATTTAGATTTTTTTTTTGCACCCTCAGATCCCAGATTTTCAAATACTCTGCCAAATATTGTCCTATCCTAACAAACCATACATAAATTGAAAGATTATTTATTCAGCTTTCAGATGTACAAATCTCAATTTTGGAAAATTGACACTTATGACTGGTTTTGTGGTCCAAGGTCACATATATATATATACAAATGTAATAATGTAATATATATATATATATATATATATATATATATATATATATATATATATATATATATATATATATAATACTGTATATATATATTTAAGTTTGTTTCATCAAATGTTTCGGGGCCACTTCAAAAAGTATTCATACAAATATACAGAGCAAAAAAGCACGCACACACAAAAAAAGAGTGAGCACTCTTGGCCTGTGTAAGAAGATCATATATTCTATGAGATTTATCAGGTTTACAGAATGCCCTGGGGTTATATGTTTCTAATCCTCCATCTCTGAGCAGTGATACCGCCTTTTGACTGAAATAAGCTCCATTCTCCAGAGCTAGACCGAGCACATCTACCCTCAGTTGAAGCTGTGCTATTCTCTTCATGCTAATTTAGATTAAACTTAAAATGCAGTCTGAAACTTTTCAATCCAATTCATGGTAATGAGGGCTCGACGATATCTTATCCAGATCTCTGTAGAACAACTCTGTGTCATTCTCCCTACAAATGGAGTTTTGCTAAGACATGTTTAAAGAACTGGTAGTTGCTACATTTCAGATATTTGCATCCCATGGAAATAGTACATGCCATACCCTTATGCCGCTGCTATTTACTCTCTCAAAAGCTGGCAGTGACCAGTGGCTTTTGTAACGCTCCAAAAAAGCATGGAGCATGCTAAATTCCAGTTCTGCCAAAGTCATACGATAGCTTTGTGTGTTATTATTTCATTATTTTGCTGTAAATAGGCCCAGAAGCTCTCAAATCCCATTCACACTTGAGTGCATATCCAGATCAGCCAGGAGACTTCCGACATTTGTCACTGGTGTAAAACCTGGTGCAACATATCTTGAAGTGGCAGGTCTGAATATGCTTAAGTGTGAAAGCCACAAAGCTGCTATATGGCTCTTGAGGCAATGGAATATAGCGCACAAGTCAAATTGGCTATTTTTATGAAATTGTAATACATGAATATGTATTTATATTTATCTATTTTTGTATTGGAGATTAATGGTCACTGTATGCATTCACAGTAGAGGTACATCAATACAAGAATATACCTGTATGAGCATATTGTCAGGGTTCTGTCACTTCGGTCTAGTGTAATTCATAGTTTTGTGACAGAGCCCTGACACTCGCGTCATGTCATTGTTTTCATGTGAGCGTGCGGCTTCGAGTGTGCTCGAGCCGTGCGCTCTCGTCTGCGTGTACTGTTTCATGTTGGAGCGTGGTGTTCAGATCCCGGCACTCATGTCTTGAGTTTCGGTTTCGTGTCGGGGTCCGGACACTCGCGCTCCATGTTCTGTCTGTTGTGGGAGCGTGCGGTCTCGAGTTCGCTCGGCCGTGCGCTCTTCTGTCCACGTGTGTTGTGTTTTGTGAAGCACGCGGTTTGTGTTCAGCCGCGTGCTTTTCTTGTTGTCTTGTGTGAACACGTGGCTTATGAGTTTTCTCATTAGCTGCGTGTTCGTGTCTCTTGTTCTAGCACATGGCTTGTGATTTGTTTTGCTGGCCATGTGCTTGTGTTTTGTTTTGTGTGAGCACATGGCTTTTTGTCTTTGATTCGGTGTGCCATGTGCTCATGTCAATTGTCTTGACCCCTCCCATCTTGTTACCTGATTATTAGTTAATTTGCCCCACATGTGCTCCCTCATTCCCCTCCTCATTTGCTCTCCATTTATTCTCCTTGTGTTTGCAGTCGTGCGTCAGTTCGTCATCGTCAATCCCTGGATGTGTCCAGATCCTGCCTTGCCTTGCCTTGCCAGCCTGTTTTTCCCCCACGGGGTAGTTTGTGTTTCTGTTTGTTTATTTTTATTACCAATTAAAAAAACCTTTTTCTGCAATACTGAGTCCTCGCTCCATCCTCTACCCTAAAGCGTGACACATATAAGTCAGTACCAATAAAATTTCTATATACCTCAGCAAACATTAATATGTTATTGAAAACACTCTTAAATAAGTAAATACAATCATTCTATATACCACAGAAACAGTCAGTTTTTGCTGTGAAATATAAAATAATTGTATACAACTGTATGATATTGAACACACTCTTAAATAAATAAAAATGAGCAAAGTAAATCAATAGAATGTACTCTTAAATAAACTAATATTGCTTAATTAAAATAAACAGTAGTAAAATAAGGAAGAAATAAACAAATTACAAGTGATAGAAAAAATAAAAACAATAGAACAAAGATATAAATTATTTAACATCATAATTAAGAAATTAAGCTTGATTCTTGAGTTTAAAAAGGCTCAATTTTCTGTGAAGCTACTTTGAAACAAAATATACTGAGAAAGCTACAATGTCGGACTGCACTTCAACAATGAAACTTCTCATTTGTATGTGACCTATCCTTTTAATTGTATTGTATCAGGTAAAACGAAATTAATATAAAACTAAATTAAGGTTTTGCTTTGCACACATTTTAAATTGAAACATCTTAATGGAAATATGGCATTAGAGAGTTTACTGTTGAACACGTTGTTGCCACCAGTACAAGCCAAAATAATAATAAAACAACAGCAAAAAGAACAAACACTGTTTCAGGTAGGCAAAATCATAAAGCATAAAATCTTGTTAGTTATTCAGCTAATGTATGTGAGACCATACAGATCAAAAGAAAGAAAAAGGATGACTCAACTTCCCTATGGAGGACCCAGAAGACACTTTTAAGTGTTTGACATTGCGGTTCCTGTTAACATTCTGGAGAATATGCACATTGACACTACTCTCATTTGCATTCCTCTCAACTAGTTGTATTATTGTGACAGAATAAAAACAATCCACTTTGTCCACCACTTTTACTCCCCTGTAACCAAGAGTCACCTGTAACATTTTCCTAATGTGTCTCTCTTTTGACCCCTTTATTCAGTCTCTCCTCAGTCTCTCTCTGTTGCTCTTCCACTCAGAAATCTTTTGCTAACCTTCAGGGGCAATAACACAGGGGCACTTAAGAGACCAAAGTCTTTATCTATTTAGACAAAATGCTTCTGAGCTATATTCTAGAAGCATCCACTGGGGCTTGAATCCTTCAACTCTGAACAGCTCCTGTCCTTCTGATATGTACACACACCAACACACTCTTGCAAGCAAACGTCACACTGGCGACTTTTACTCTGCACCATTATGTCACACTGGTGCTGTATGCATAGGAATGATAGTTGAAAAGGCAATATACGAATTTCAAGACTGCATTTGTTTTACTGGAGAATAAAAAGGGTCTTTAAAAAAATGGACCAGCATTTGCGACTGTTATAAGACATAGTTTGGTTACTGCACATTTTAAAGACAAATCAAAATCATTAGGAGAATGACCAGGTCATTTCATTCACTAGCCTCTGGTCACCCTGCGTTTTCTAAAAGTGCCCTGGAGCAGTGTAATTCGAGTTTTCCTGCTGTGGGCGATTCAGAGAGCAGCGAAGATCAGCGTGAATGTGCAGCCATTAGTATGTCAGAGCACTGAGCCAATTAAGATCCAGTCAGTTGCTACAGCTCATCAAAAAACTGTATGCTCAGCATTAGATTTGGCACAATCTTTTCTTTTATAAAACGTCTGTTTTTCAATATGCCGAGATTTTGATCAGTTTTAGATCCATACGTTGTTTTCCACTGCTATACAGTACATATGCATTCAAAAAAACATTTATTCTTTGGCTTAAATTTAGGATTTATTTATTTGAATTGCAATTTCCATTTGAATTAGAAAGTGTAACATAAACGAATTAATCTAATGTGATGCATATTTGTTAGTCATGCATAAATTAAAAAGTAAGGTACTCAAAAAAACATGGCATACTTTATTATATTTTAATAATCATATCAAAATGGATTTATTTAAAATTGTTTAGAATCAGCATGAATCTGTTTCTTGTAAAAAAAACAAAAAAAAAACAATTACATTTGTAGTGCTGTCAAACGATTAATCGCGATTAATTGCATCCAAAATAAAGGTTTTTGTTTTTTTGTAAATATTTTCAAAATAAATGCTGTATTTGTGTGTATTTATATATACATAATAAATATACACATTACACACACATATATTATGTAAACAAACACTTTTATTTTGGATGCGATTAATCGCGATTAATCGTTTGACAACACTATTATTAAGTTAAAAGTATGAACGATATGGCTAGCTGTGTAGCAAGCAATATTTAACTAGTTAAAATGTGTAAGATAAACTGAAATAAATTGGATTTATTGGATTAATA